TTTTTAATTGTACTGTTTTAACGCCAAGCTTAAATAATCTCTTCACTATACAATGAAATATCAATACATTTATAGACTAAATCAAATCCTCCTTTATTAATGAATAAAATTTACGCTTTAAACTAGATGAAATGATTATTATTCTTCAATTCACTTGGTATTGTTTACTTGAATCATCCCATGGATGTTTAGGACTGCAATTGATCAGTCTCTTATAGGTATATGTTCATATTGTGCGTATTGCCTCGATATTGCCTTAATTCACAAGCATTATAAGTAAAGATGGATAGTGGCTAGTAGTGGAATCCAGGACGCACGCTTCGTCCTATTTGGAACTTGTCAGCTGGATGTACCTGCATCCTAGAGTTAATATTCTTTATTGAATATCATCATGGTGATTATTCATACCATGCGGTTGAATAAAACTGAAAAGATCCAAAATACAAATGTTCCAACTTAATATGTTCCTTTAGGTATTATTGTGAACTGATTTAGTTAATGGCTGTGAACAGCTACTTTAAAAATAACAATTTATATCAGAACCTTAGGAATATAGCTCTCACAATGAATAATTTAATATAGTCACAGCGACCTGTTTCCATTGATGGTCAATATATATTTTACTGACTTCACTGTTTATAGTAAATTGATCTAACTGGGAATAGTACCAAAGCCATTCACGATACATAGGTCATTTTCGAGTAACTTTGTATTACTCTTTCGATCTTTCCAATAAGTTTGAAAAATTTATTTAAAACAACTTCTTTTCCTTAAAAAGTATTACCATTCTATAGTGATAAACAATATCTTTTCTTTCGGGATTGTTTAAGTGTTAGAAAGAGTTTGAACCATTATATCACTGATATTCTTGAATAAATTTTGATTACTCTTTTCCGGTATATGTCCATACTTTGTGGATTGCCCCAATATTGACATTTAATCATAGCTTTATATAACAGTTTAGAAGTGGATAGAAATGGGACTCGAAAAATGTGTTTGGTCTTATTTTAAACTCTTTAGTTTGACGTGCATGCACCGCAGTATTTTCATTCACATTTGGGACTGAACCCAGTACTTACCATTTCAAATGCTGACCCTTTATTCCCTAAGCTACTGAGTTCAGACAGTTCCAGTGTGAACATCATAATTGAGATGGAGGTAAATTCAGCTGTAAGCGGGGCGAAACTTTCGTTCGAAGCATTATAGCTAGCCTCTATCCAACTTTAATAGATTTCTCTGAATTATATTCATTATCAAGCGATGATCTGTTTACTTCCCTACATTCACAATGATATCGAATATTTCTCATCTCACTCAACAGTGCTGATAAATATTACTCATGGCTGTAAGTTCCTTTCAAAAATCATTATTCAAGAAGTAGGCTTCTTTGGTTTTATTTTTCATGGAAAGCTTAGCAAAAAACTTTAAAAGACTGTTAAAATAACTACCAACTAAACAAATTTCCTCGGTATACACTTCAAGCTTCTTTGACAATGGATTCTAATGAATATAGAGTGACAAGTTCATTGATAGTTCAGTTCATCGACAAAGTTAGATCAAGAATATATTTTACAAAAGTCTTATATATCTAGGTTTTAAGAACATATAATTTCGAAATAAACGTTAAAATAGAAAACAAAGATTAGCTGCTACGACAGGTATTTCTTAAGGTTATTGAATGGTTTTATAAAACAGTAGTCTTCAATGACACAGAAAAAGATAACACTATATGAATAAGTTAGAATTATTAGTTCTCATGAATATGATTTTCTATTGAAGTAATTTACATCTAACTAGATAGTCTAATCGACGAATTGTTGTCCAGCGAAAACTTATACTCAGGAATTATTGCTGAACATATTGGTTAACATAACATTTTTTGATATCGTTCATAAAACATTCTAGTATGTAAAGTATTTAGCAATCTGACTTCACACAATAATATATAAAGTCATGAAGATATTCTTCAACTGTAGATCAACAACATTGTATTAAACAATATCTATATCTTATATGGCCATATATAAATTGTGTTACAACATGACACTAAAATGAACGAAGGAAGAAATATTGATTATAAGGTTAATATCCTTAAATCACATAAATTATACTAAATGTAATTTTAAAAAATTGTTTAAATGCCAAGATCTATAAATGAGCGAAATTATCATGTGATCCAAATTATATGGCTAGCAGAGAAATTTCGTAGGATCAATAAGTCGGCATGGATCATAAGTCAAGTCATTCTGCAATGCTCAATCGTTATAGCCCAAAGCCGTCAATCAGAAGCAGCGAATTATCGATCGAACCAAGGACGCCTAAAACACAGCCGAGTCCTGATTGGCCCTGCTTCTTGCCTAGCCCAGTCAGTTAAGTCCAGAACACCAATGTCAGCCTCTGCAATATGAATCATTATATTTCAAACATACTGAGTTTATATACCAATCAAACAGACCACAATGTATCAATAAAATATGAAACAACATTTGTACAAGAATTAGCCAGATGTGGCTGTGAATGTGGGAGGTAGTAATTAATAGACAGCATAATTCAAGAATGCTAAAACGTATAATAATGGTTCATAGGTCAAAATAAAGTTTATAATAAGAGGAATATGAATATGAATAGTTTAGTTATTTAACAATTATACGATAAAAATATACGTTTAGTATTGGTCCATAAAAGGATCCCAAAGTTACCATTCATTATGTTTATCGGAACATAACATCAATAACTAACTGTCACCACAAACTGCTTTTCTACCCAGTGTTTATTATTTTTCGCATTATAAGAGTTTGTAACCATCAGTGAATGTTAAATTCCAAACAGTTTAAAATCTAAGACTCCAGATAATATTTTTTAGGTGAGAACAGACTGTTGCATATCATACTAAAGTAAAATGATATTAGATGTATTCGAAGTCGAACATTCCTTACCTAGATAAGGAAACTCCTGTAAAGCCATTAAGGAGGAAGACAAATCAGACGTTGTAAACTATAGATGAACAAAAATATATAAATGAGTGTGAACTTATATCCAATTTTAAGGGAATGGGTAGTAGGAAATCTGTTAATTTCTTTCAAATCAATTAAAATTTTCAGAATATTCACTTGGAATTGCGATTCTCATGTAGTGATCAATATTTATGAGATGACTAAAAATTTTATCAGTAGATAATCACTGTTCAGTAAAATGAATTCACAAACAAAATTATTTGAAGTTAAAAACTACGATTATTAAAAAATGACCCATCTTACTCTATTCTCCTGAGAGGAATATATTTCTAGGCGAAAAATCACCATATGTTTGTCATTCTGATTACACAGTTTATTTAAATGATAAATGTGTATTTAATAAGCTATATGCGCAAATATGTTAACTGTTTAAATTAACCATAGATAATTCCATTCATTCAGTTGAACTACTTGTACACTAAATAAGTAGTGTGACAAAACCACTAAAAATTCAGATGACAAAAGAATATAGCTTTTGACAGGAATATATATTCAAATCAGTGAATTCCTCAAAAACCACTGTAGTGAGTAGTAATATAGTTAAGTTCTAGAGATCAAATGTGCTAAGATCCTCAGCTTAGTATCCACATAACTAAAAACACCAACTTTTACACAGCTTTGAAAATTAGGAGTGATTACAATTTTATTATGAAGAATCCCCACGACGTAATCAAAGAACTACAATGTTTCTCAAGAGTAGATATTTACCAGATTAGTAGAGGAAAGAATTTGGGACGTTTTGAAGTTCATGTTGTACATGTCTCAACCGTTTGCAGTTATACGTAAGCTTCATTTAGTCTTTTGAAGTTTTCACACAACTCATGTAGACTGGGTAACACTTGGAATTAATAAAAATTAATTCAATTTAGGTGTATAAAAAATCACTTTGTATGATATCGCATTTAAATGGTAGCGTCCTTTCACTTTTGTATGCCTTAACGTAAACTTTCGGTTCTTGTAATTTCATGTTATGTAATATACTAATTATATCACTGTTTATTACTATATAATTATTCTATCTATTCCTACATTCCCATAACACTAATATTCTAGGCTTATATAGTGGAGAAGATTTGTAACTTACAGAGAGGATTTTAATGGTATTACACGCTTTCATGTTCTTCTCTAACCAATCTCATGTCTATCTAGTCCTTAAATGTTAATCTTAATTTGTAGATAATACTGATAAAAATATATGGATTCTATTGTATAAAAAGTCAAAAATACTGCTGGCATTGTTTAAACGGAAAATTAAATCACCCAACTCACTAGAAAAAAAGAAATCCCCCTATGTCTGTAGCAATTTTATTCATACTACTTAGTTGTCTTTTTTTCTGTTGAAAATTCCCATTCATTTCTGCTTTTTTGAAGAGTTTCTTTCTCTAAAAATAGTTAATCAGTTAGCTAACTAAGATTTCTATCCAATTCCTTTGTTGGTAAAACATTGAAGAACACTTTACAGACACACTTATATACAGGTCAATGTTGGATTGATAAAATGAAAGATTAGACAAGCATATACATACAATATTTATGACTTACATTATTTCGCTAAGATAAAAAATTTTAAAAAATAAACTACTAACTGTCCTGCTTTTCAACCCATTACAAACAATTTTTCACTCCTGAGGTTTATAGTCATTGGAGAAATGATTTTTCCCTTTCAATCTCATAGTTTACGTATCATTCAGTCACGAAAATTCCAATTGGTTTATTTTTTGAAAAGTTAAATAGAATTTTGACGGATTAACATAAACAGGAATCTCTTCAATTAGAAATATTAGAACATTAAGTCATTATTATATACTAGATAGCCTCTTGTTACTACGCATTTTACAAACCCCTCTTTAGCATCTTTTCTACCGTCCTATCCTGATCATTTTCACTATAGTCATTCACAAGATAATGTTTTATGATTTAAATTTTATTTCAGCCCTCCAGAATTACCTAGATACATTTAGTATTTGACAGAACTATACTTCTTAATAAGACTAATCTTAGTTAAATTAAATTGAAGCTTATTTTCCAATGTCATTTAAACCCAATTTGAAATCTAATTATGGTAATGTCAATCCCAATTCGGAAACTCAAACGAAAATTATTAATTTTTTCAATACATATAAACAGTTATTAGATGGATATACTCGACATGTCATGAACAAATTGCATAATACTACATCTTCTATAAATAGTAATACTAGTTGTAATAGCAACATTGGCAATAATATCGTTGAATTTATGAATTATGATTTACTGCAAGATCATCAAATTATAACAAATGTGGAACCAAATACTGTATGCACTTTTAAATCACCAGTAATCAGTTCATATAAAAATTTAAAATTAAAACCATATTCATCAACAAGTAATCTCATCAATCCTACTTCTAAATATCCTTGTTTTAATGACTTTTGTTTGACAGTAAATAATTCACAGTACAAATCAAATGATTTTATTAAAGATTACTCCCAAACATTATCATCTTTTCCTTTATTCAATTGTGATTACTTTAAAACACAACATTATCCATCTGTTAATTCACATTCACAATTATCGATTACAGCAATGAATGAAAGAATTTTCAAGAAAGTTCAATCATCATCTGTTATATCTTTATCGAATAAATTATCCACGTCCCCAATGACAACTTCAACAAATATAACAGCAACATCATCAAATTCATCATCACCATCTCTATCAGTAGATTCAATAGACATAAAAACTAATATTCCTAAACATTTAACCGTACAAAAAATCTTAAAACGTTTAGCTAAATTACCAAATAATTTAGGACCATATATTTGTCGACTTTGTAATCAATATTTTGAAAATGCACTCAAATTAGCTAATCATCGTTGTCCATTAATATTGCATACTGATTATCGTTGTCCTGAATGTGATAAGGTAAAAGAAAAAAAAACAATTAATGAAGTGTCATTTAATTTAATTTAATTTATTCTATTTTAACACAACAATAGCATTACTCATAAAAACAACTTTCAGTGAATGCTCATATTTTAAATGATCTATTCGTAAATAGCATACACTTGACTTATTAATTACGTACAAGATTTATTTCTCACTTGACCTATATCAGTTTAAAAAGTCGGCTAATAGTATTATACATTATCCTAACCAACATACATAGGTGTAGTTGAAAATTGAATACCTATCACTGTACTTAGTTAATAGACAGCAATTAAAATAAAACCAAAACATAGTAGATATCTATTCTGTAATATGATGACAGTAGGTAGTTGTACCTACCCATAACGTAATCAAACGGAAAATATATTTAGTACTTATTAGGAAAACGTGTAAGTATATGTGACTATAATACGTACATTGTGGAAATTACATCCCTGAAGAGATGTATTATTACTGGTTTGGTCAAGTATTTATCTCCTCAAAGAGCAGCAATCACGTAAATATTGATAACAAAAGTTTCCTAGTGCGTAATCCAAGTCTATGACTCTCTGTTGATCGATTAACATATGATATCAAGTCACTCAATCTTGAATAAAATCATTTAATTATGCAAATAATAATCAGAATAATCACCATCGTCATGACCGATTTCTTTCATAACACTTTTCAGTCGCATCAAATTTTAATGACTCACTACTTATCCACCTAACCAAGAGATCCAAACCTCCCTGTAATTTTATCATTACTTAGTATATTTATGTATACTTTAAGATTACCCAGTCAATCACTTATACAAAATAAGAAAATTAGAAACACTGGCTTGAGGCCTTCCAATTTTCACTGATTTTCAGATGTATAAGTTACCATTCAATAAACACTCTACACTAATATTGAAGCCTCCGAGTACAGTTTACTTCCTAATATCAGTGAACTTATGTTTGTAAGCTGAATGTAGAATATAATGAAAGTGTTTTTGTAGAAATTACTGTATGATGATGACTATTACATATTATATAGTCTAACGTTTTAATAATAATGATAATAATAACAATAATTTAGAACACTACACCATATATTTACTTTTTAAAAGTTTATATTTAGTCAAGGTTGCTAATTATGTACCATCAGTAACGAGAACTAGATTCAAAGTTTCCGAAAAATATTAAAACGAATGCGTTAATGTTTGGACAAAAGTACATTAGTGTATTATCTACAAATTCCCATCATGCTGAAATAAAGTTAATATGAATTTAGAATTTTTCCAATCATGAACCCAAAATAATGGTAAAAATACATGATATGAATTTGAAATTATTTGTTTTTTTTCAAGTTTGTAAACACTAAAACTCCTGGGACTGAGTTTCAAGTGTCAGTACTTTTCTATGCTTACATTCCAATTGATGATTAAAATGTTAGTGCTTTCATGAAAACTTCTAGAATGATTTGACATTAAAAAAAAAACATACAATACTTTCGTAATCCATTCATAATTAAAATCTTTGAAATGTATTATGTAATTGAACAATACACACTTTAATATAAGTAGTATATTTACTTATCAGAGCATATTATATGAAAAACTAAATCAATAAATAGTGATGAATATTGATTTAAAAAGGAAAAGAAGAGTATATTATACGAAATGAATAATAAACTATTATCAAACAGACCTTTTCACAATCTTAGAATTAAAATTCAAAAGACTTTTTAAGGTCAATTTTATGGGTTGTTTCATTTAAATATTCTGTTATGAAGGAGGACAATTATTAATGTAAGATGAATAATCGTTTCACTACACATTTCTTAAACCCTTAATTTATTGTTTGGTTACTTCCACTTGTGTATACACGTCCATACACACAAAATGATGAATAAAACATAACGAAATGTGATAATTTCTGCTATCTGTCTAATAATAATTAATCACTTCATATTTCATAATGGAATGTTCTCTAGTTTATAGTACTGACCGCAAACTCTATTGACTACGTGGTAATTCGATCATTGATTTCCGTGATCTGACATCATGATACATGTTATTTGAAAATCATCAGCCTGTAGCCCTAAACCTATTTTATATATTAGGCAGGTCCTAAGGGGACTGATACTCCTGATAAAATTCAAACATGTATCCTTTAAGTAGTAAATCAGAGGCAATGCTGTTGTGTTTTGTTTTTTAGCTGATGAATATCATTCTTTAGGACCCAGATGTTTGCATTAAATTACCACATATTAATAAACAATATTACAACCATGTTCGGCTTTCACTATTTTTTGTAATTTTTATAAGTGTCTTAATAAATTTCCATATTATTCAGTAGATGAAATCTAAATTGTGAACACGCGAATAATAATTCCCAGATAACTGGTGCTTAAATAAAATTACACTTTCCTTTATTCTGTTATAGGTTAGGTTCACTCTAGTGACCTGAGTAACGTATAAAGTTTTCAGCTGTTTAATAGAAAAGAAATCGGATAAATCTAAAGACAATACTCAGTAGCGTTTTTCTCTCTCAACTTATATACCATTATAAGGTGCTAATATTTATTCAAATATTTGAGCATAATGACTTATAATACTGAATAATCAACGAATAAGATTAATGTTTATAAATTTTGTTTATTTTTAAATTTGTATCTTATATCCATAAATGATTAAAAAATATACTGATATGATATTGGAATGCGTTAGCATCAATCTATGCAAATCAGTTACTACATAGTAAACAGTGTTATACTCTGATTTTAACTTTTAATTTTGGTATAGTGTTGTGGAGATGACTAAGTTATTGATTGAGATCATAAACCAATTGATGTTAGACTACGATTGAAAACCTGAAAGCACTGGACGGTCGTTTCGTCCTATTTTGGGACTCCTTAGTAGTGCCCACCCACGATCCCGCTCGCGGATTCGAACCCAGAGCCTTCAGTCTCACGTGCGAACGCTCAACCTAATTTTGGCCTATAGATTGACTTATATGTGCTTCATTTTATATTACCTATCGAAGTTTTGAATCTGTAAAGAATTATATTCATCTTTCTCAAAATAACAGATAAGCAATATTTGTAAGCTTCAATAAGTAACAAAACCAAACTTAAAGGTTTCCATTGATTACAATGAATGAATTCAAGTTTTATTTCAGTAAAGTGCAATGCACCCAAACTATTATAAGAAAATACCACATAATCTCGGATATATTTATGACATTTTACTCAATTATGCAATCATCAATAACATGTTTCTATGGTCTGTTGAAAACTACTACATTTCGTCAATAAATATTACCTAAGATAACTTATCCAGTTGACTAGAATGAAAATAAACTTTTGTAATAAACACTTAAACTGATTCGTTGTACCGTAATTGTACATGACATTACTACCCCCTTTATATACACGATAATAATCTATATTTGGTTAGATGTTAGTTTAGATATCATAGCTTCACATATATTGATAGACAGTAGATACCTTGACCTAATGGTATAGTTCGAATTTCTTCAAATACCGAAATTATTAGATTTGCCCCAATGGTTATAAATGGTTTTATTTAAATATTAGTTGGAGTAAATTGTTACTAATATATGAAATTAATTTAGACTACTATTTGTATAATTCCAAATTAAAATTGAATTCGACTTACATTTAATAAGTTATATTAAAGTATTTAGTGTCCCTGGTTCTTTCTTTTAATCACGTTTTTAATAGTGCTGTAAATACTTGACATATTCTCCTTTACCTTTAGTCAACTTTCATAGTTTCTTATGAAATTTATCAAGTAAATAGATGCAATCATATGATATGAAACAATTAGCCATGGATAATGATATCGTTAGACAGTTCATTGACAAAAACTTGAAAGTAAGAATCATTGAATTAAAACTTAATGACTTTATGCTAATATGCTCACTATGAAACCTGAAGTATGGTTTCAACCAAGTTAGCTGAGTTAAGTGTGGGAATAATTTTGATAAGTTCTAAATTAAAACAAAACAATTACTAGTTGTTTTCTGTTATTCCTTAATACTTTAGGCAATGTCAGCTTGTGATTAAAACTATCGTTTTAACGCACAGCCATAATCAACACTTATATTTCCTACAAATTATTTATTATTTTGAGTACTAATGCATGACTATTTACATTGATGTGATATGTCCTAGTACAAGTTAGAACTTTACCCATTAATCACAACGAGATTTTTAAATCTATTGTCAGGATTCCCTATTAAATACCTTCAACCCCACTAAACAATCAAACGTGACTGAGAAGTCAAATCACTTAACCTAATAGTCAGACTACGAATTAATTAATGGAATTTGTTCAAAATTAAGAAGCAGACAAATCTAATATTAGACAACTGAGCCGGCATCCAACGGTGTTAATGTCCAGTGCTTCCAGGGTTTTCATGGTGGTCTAGCTTCAATTGACTCATGATTTCAATCTGTGAAATTTCTAAAATCTCCACAAACCACTTCTGATAATAATCATCTGCTCACTAGTGACTGACTTCAGGAGATACTCTTGGAGTTCTAGTGAAAAGTCGTTACCAGTGGAGTTCAACCAGGTCTGTTGTGAGATATCAGCTCACTGAAGACAATGGTAAATGGTGGTGCAACTTCGTGGATTAGTTGAAGTTAGACATTAACACCGTTGGATACCGGCTCAGTGGTTTAGTGGTTAAGTGCCTGGCGCGAGACTGATAGGTTCTGGGTTCAAATCTGGCGGGATGCGAGATCGTGGATGCGCACTGCTAAGGAGTCCCATGCTAGGACAGAACGGCCGTCCAATGCTTCCAGGTTTTTCATGGTGGTCTAGCTTCAATTGACTCATGATTTCAATCTGTGAACTTTCTAAAATCTCTACAAACCCCTTCTGATAAAAATCTAATATTGGTTACTAGTTAATCGCTAAGCTGTGTTCATATATTTTATACAAATACTTGTCACTAGTTTGACAGAAATTGAGCGCCGAGCATAGAGAAGTCATTATATGTGAAAATTATATTTGAAATGATCTCAAACGATTGAAATCAAAGATGATTTTGATATTGATTATTACCCTGAAGACATCCAAACAAGTTAGCCGAACGAAACGTTGGAATTATTTAGATTTTAATCACTGAGATTATTTCAAATATAATTTTCACATATCATGTGTTTATATATATTTTAACTTCTTACAAAAGATTATAACTTCCATTTATTTATATTTGAGCACATTATTAAGATACTTTAAGTAAATGTAACTATGTTACTCAAGATTAGAATGAACCATTTTGAATAATATCGATCGAATTCATCTATAGCATTTGACCATATATATTTTTTTTTCCTTCCCCCCTTTTATTAATTATTTTAGGTATTCAATTGTCCAGCTAATCTTGCTAGTCATAGACGTTGGCATAAACCAAAATCTGAAATCAATTATGATCAAACCTCTATAAGGGATCATTCTTTATTTTCAACATTAAATAATGATAAATATTTTACTGCAAGAAAATATTCTAATCATAATTCTAAAAAACTAATGACAAATTCAAAATTATTCAATAAAAATTTACATTTAAACAATTTACCAAAGAATAAATTGAATTCAGTAGTATTTCATCATAACCAAAAGAATCAATTAATAATTCATTCTAATAAGATAAAGAGACCAACTTTTACTGTTCAAGCAATACTTGATAATTCAGTTAACAATGATGATAAAATTCATGATAATATAACAACAACAACAACAAAATCATTGAACTTTGACAAAACAATCATCAATATTGAATCATCAAATTCGATAAATTGTATTGAATCAAATGAGGTCAATTCGAATTTGTCAAACAATAATTTATCAACTAATAATAATAATAATAATAATAATAATAATAATAATAATAATAATGATCATACTACACGTAATCATTCAACTAATACATGTAATATTAAAGAAGCATTAATGAATCAACAAATTTCATTACAATGTAATTATTGTAATACTTTGTTATCAACTCGTAATGAATTAGAATCTCATATGGTTGCACATATTTTTAATAGAATCAAGTCAAAACTAGAAGGAACTCATTAAATATGAAGTAATACATTTATATTATAAAATATAATTAGTTAACTAATAGATCAAACTATTCGGTAGTTCATCTAGGAATATCACAAGTTTATACTTGATTCTATTTTATGCCATTACATTAAACTAAATGCATAAATCAATATTTAATGAGTTATCATTATTATTACTCAATAAACAATTCAATTCCTTCCTCTATTTACCAAATTCCTTAATGTAAACTTGTTGATATAATACATGTTTAGTAAATAATTTCATGAATGATAGTAATATTGACTTATTATCCCAAGTGATTATCATATTGCCTTTGTATACTTTCTTATTCTTTGTTACGTTTTACCTTTAATCTGTCTAATTGACCTTTTAATTTTCATATAAAAGTGTTCTTAACAAGTATATATGGGATCAGATTGTTCAAAATGTATTGCACAAATATATCACATAATTATGATAAACTACGTCTTCTCATAGCATGATTGAAATTTATCAAAGGGACTAATTGTTTTGAATTGATGTTCTTTTTTTGTCTTCTGACAACTAAACTCTTATCATTCCATCTTCCTTAATCTTTGAACACTTTTCAATCTATCCCTAAATTATCAATTCTTCATTTTTAATATTTGTCTTGTTTTAAAAAAGAAAAAAAAACGAAATCAAATTGTGCTACCAATAATATTTTGTTCTATGTAACAATAACAACTATATAGAGAAGAATAACTAAACTATCACAAAATAGGGATATCAATGTAATTTGTTACACATTTCAAAACAATCTCGACTAAATTTGTTACCCTACTCTTTTTCTTTTATCCCAACACCAAGGAAACAATAAGCAGAACCTACATGTATATATATATATATATATATATATGCATGCACAATACGTTTTTATTTTTAAAAAAAGAACATATAAACACTCTACTCATTACTGAACTATATATATGACAATCGGTAAATGTATCAAGAGAAGGGCATAAGAATCATTTAAACATTTCAACAACAACAAAAATTTTCTTTTCCTATTCCTTATTTATTTATTCATTTCATTTTGTTCTTATTTTTTAGTTGGCATAAAAATGTCTTTTATTTTATTACCATTGAACAGGTAGTCATTAACAAGATAAGAATTGTTGACGTTCTCGACTTTCTTCTGTTGTTTTATTAAGAAAAACAAAATTGAAATCATTTTCTTATTTTATAGTTGTTAAATAACCCGCAGAAAAATTGTTGCGTTGTTTATTATTATCATTATTACTAATAATAATAATATTAATATTATTACTATTAGTAGTAGTAATAGTAGTATTAGTAGTATCTTTTCCCTTGGCTTTCAAATGACATGATTTCATCAAAATTTCATCAATGATAATAACTGCGCAATTTTATGATAAAATTTTATTTATTTATTTATTTATTCATTATCAATAATTTCGTATAATTAAATATTTTAATTATCAGTATAAATTCAAGGTAGATGGATACATCGAGAGAAGATAGAGAAAAATATTATAGAGAAAAATTGGAAAGAGAAAAATAATTTAAATGCTGGTTTAATATTCAATTTTATTTAACTGAATGTTAGTTTGTAAATATTTCACTTAATAAAATATTGTTATTCCTGATTATCGATTCATGCATTTTTATATATGTGATTGAGTTTTTAGTGAAATGAATTGAAAACAGACAGTGATTTTGCTTCACTGACAGTGAGACTATCATTTATGAACGACCTTTGAGCGACACTGAAGTGACCCTGAGAGTGGATATCTACTAATTAGGAGTTATAAATCAGTTGGAATTCTCATTTACAGTTGATAGTTAGGATTAAAAATTACATTTAGCGTTTTCATCACGAAGTGATATCGGCTGTAACACTAAAACTCTATTTAACCAAATGTATGGTTGAATTTCGAGCCAAGCTTCGTAACTCGTTATCTTATATCTGATTGGTTCGTTCATAAATTATTGTCTCGCCGGTCATTGTCAAAAAATATTGTACATTACATAAAGGTGAGTGTTCTTATAGCTTAAATGTAAGCTCAAAAGTAACCAAACAAGTGACTTTATGTGAATTTAATTGCCATTCAACTATTTAAAACATTCATGTTTATAGTTAAATATAATGAGATCTTGGTTTCGATTACATGTACAAAGTTTCTTCTTCGTATTGTTGAATTGTTTAAAAAAACAATGATAAAACAATTGTATACTGTTTTCTTCACTTGGGAGGGGGGGTAAAAGTCACTTCGAACGTGTGATTATGTTGATTTTCTGTTATTAGAATTAAATAAACGATATTTTTATTTCATTTGTAGACTTCTTTCCAGTGGTTAGTTTATTCTAAGTAGTATAGTTTATTGGAAAAAAAACTATTTATAAAAATGTCAACAATATTATAGTCTAGAAACTATTTGACTAAATTAGGCCTTAAGATTCCCTATAAATGATTTGATAACGGAATGTATCCGACAGTACTGGACAGTACTGTGACCAATATCCGCAGAATTAGTTAAAATAGTCATGAGCTAGGACTCACTTAACGATCTATTCCATGGATCACCTTCTACAACTGGAAAATTTTATTTTCTAAAAGATTACCTCTTCAACGGTTGTTTCTGGTTCGATAGTTATCTAGGATAAAAGAATTAATTAAATCAAACAGTGGAACTACTACATTGTAAGCTCGTACTTTAAAAAATCATCTGAGCTTAATTAACTTTTATGATAAAAAAAAAGACCAGTAGACTTCAACCGTGTCGAGCGTGAGGGGGCTATCCACCAAAGACAATGGAAGGTGGTCGCTAAATATATTGTATTTGTTAACGTTGAACCTTAACACCATTGGATGACGACTCAGTGGTTTCGAGATTGTGTTTGCGCGCGAGACCAATAGTCCTAATGTTCAAGCTCTATGTGCGGAGGTCGTGAATGCACAGTCTTGAATGGACCCATACTAGGACGAAACGTCCGTCCAGTTCTCCAGGGTTTTACGGAGTTGTATGTCTTAGATTGGTTCGTGGTGTTGACGAAATTCAACGAGCTCCACAACCCACATAGTGATGGCCAATAATAATTTGTTTCACTCATTAGTTCGATGGTTTTATTTGGCCATCTTAATAAAGTTCTCTTACACTAACTGTATGAAAAACTAAACAATAATTTTATCTCTTGGAGTGTTGTAATTTTGGAGCTAGGCGGTTCAGTTATGAGACTTTTAGTTTTGTTCTGATAATATCATTCCACGAACATCAATACAAATTCAATTGAGAAACCGTCAGAATTCTAAATCGAGAAAATTTAAACAGTAGTGGAGAATTTCTAAAAGTAATACATTCCGTTCAATCTGAAATTAATACGCATTAATCTCAAATCTATGAGAACAAGGTCAACCAGACATATGATATATATATATATATATATATATATATATATAGATAGATAGATAGATAGATAGATAGATAGATAGATAGATAGATAGATAGATAGATAGATAGATAGATAGATAGATATAGATATAGATATAGATATAAAAAATGTGTGTATTCAATTGTCTTTTTTGATGGTTTCAAACCAACAAACGATGAAATCAGTGATGATGATGACCATAAAATGCATCAACTTGTAGCTAGTCCAGTTTATCATTTAAAAAGTAACCATTGCCTTTTTGGCTTAGGAAATAAAACTTTGCTGTTGATCTACTTTGAGTACTTAAATAACAATAAATGTTATACTACAAATAATCTACTGGTATATGAAGTTTCAATTAAGTTACTCAATTTAATTTGAATTAATTAAAGTTGAAAATATGGATGTCATTTCCATAAGACCTAAGGTTCCTAAATTTCATCTATAATAAAGTCATAAAAGAGCACTTCTGAAGAATCCTATGTTACTTATCAGCTGTTCTCGAATTTTCAACGACTCACTTGTTGAAGTCAGTTCAAAATCAACCATTTTTAGTCCTATTTGCATACTAGATAAATTAGTACCAATTATAGTATATATATAGTTAGATTTATCTATATCTATATATCTTATTAGCATAGATGTGCTTAGAATAACTATATTTATCCTAGAAGATAAAAGTCATTATGTAAAAAACTTTGGTAGAAAAAAAACCTTAACACAAAGTCAAATAAATGATCGAATTCACAAACAGATACCAGACGAAACGGAGAAATAACCAACAACTTAAAATCTCTTTGTTTACTCTCATAGAATTAAACAGAAAGAAAACAGTGTAGAATAACACCAGTAATATTTATTTTATAGTTATTTTTTCGACATGTAGTTTTCCATTCTGATTTCCTCTTCATTTTACAGGACACACGTCCACCCCACCACACACACTCCATCAACCAATATTGGAGAGAAGAAGAAAATATAATTTCATCTATTTTATCCTGTTTTCTTTTGTTGATGTGTTACCACAGTATAAAGATACAAGTTTCTTTTCATTTCATTTGTGAGGTTGGATTTTCACCCTAGTAAAATATGAAGAATGAAATTAAATATTTTTAATCTATATAACTTCTTATCACGATTAACCTAATTAAATAAACAAAATCAGCAAAGGTTTACAAACCTTTCTTTACATATGAATAGATAGGTAGATAAATGGATAGATAGGCAGGTAGATGATAGATAATTAAGTAGGTAAGAATTTAAAAAGTGAGTATTATATACAAACAATCAAAGGAAAGAAAATCCTCCTAAAGAGATAATAATTTTGAAAGCAATGTAAAGTTATCGAATAAAAATATATTGGAAGGACAAATCGAAGCAATACTAACGAATATCAACAAATATTCAAAGTGGTATTAATTAGTAATAGCGATTATCATATCCCTTCAGCATTTAATATTGATTGAATCCTAATGATCAAATCGTTATGTAACCTTCAGGTTATATGACTAAACAATGTAGTAAAGTTTTCTCATTATTAGTTAATGATCATCTGTAGTCAGTAGGAATTGCGTGGTCTATATACTATCCTGTTAGTC